GGAGGAATTCATGTCGGTGATGCACTTGGTGGTTTTTTCAGTGAGTGAGGGTGGTGACCCACAGAAAGGAGGAGGAGGTGGGCCGCTGCTGACCCAGAAACCATACCCCACACACACACACCAGCTGGGCCGCACCCACTGATGCGGACAGTGAAGGAGAAAGACAGAGGGCAGACAGCAGGGCCACGCAGGCCGAAAGGTGCAGAGAGTGCAGTGGGGGTGGCTGGGAGTCCCCTGACCTATATATCCCCTGTCCGTCTTTTGTAAATTGGCGACAGCACTCAGATTAGAGAGTGGTTTGCTGACCACTCTCACGAGCCACAGTTTGCTGACCACTGGTCTAGGGCCACTTGGCCAGCCCCAGGCTCTCTCTCTGCCTCCTTCATCCAGAGAAAAATGGCAGGAGGCAGGCCTGGAGCCAGCCGGGAAGGAGGGGTTGGCATGGGCTCCGTCACCAGAAACAGACCAAATGATGCCAAGTGGCCAGAGATGCTGGGCAGCCAGTCAGACAGGGTGCGCCTCCCTGCACCGGAGGGAGACGGGACACATGCCACCCCACCGGGCAGCAGCACCAGTTTCCTAGGGCCGACAAAACGGAGGTCCACAGCCAGGTCCCTCAGCAGAGCATCCCGGCAGACCGCAAGGCAAGGGCGAGTGGGGGGAGGGGACAAGGGGAAGAGGCAGAAAGCAGGGTGAAGGCCGTCTGTGAGTGACCACTGGCCACTGTGGTCACTGTGCTCAGCAGCCCCGCAGGGTGTCCATTCCCCACTCTTTAATCTGAGTGCTGTCGCCAATTTACAAAAGACGGCGGGCACATGCCCAGGTGACACGGATGCACCAGGGCAAGGCTGGACCATGGTCTGGCCGTGCCCCTCCCCAGCCTGCCTGGCCTGCTGCCATCACCCCCGCGAGCCGCCCGGAGAACCCGGGACCCGCATCCCGTGAGGCAGCGCGTTCAGCCATCCCTGCCCCGGGCAGACTCACCTGAGCGCAGCCCGAGGCTCTCAGCGCCTTCTCGCCGTCAGGGACCCACTGCCAGCATCGTCCTGCCGACGGCTCCCTGCTCTGCCCTGCGCCCTGGTGCCCGCTTGTCCTTGGGCAGGCGGCACAGTCACCGCCTGCACTGCCCCTGTCCTCCGGGGGGCGCTGAGGAAGGCAGTGCGGGCACAGGTGGCCTTGCTGGGTGCAGCCAGGAGACAGCGTCGGGACAGGATTTCTTTACGATATAAGGAAACTTGGTAAAAGGCTGAGAATACCGCCGCCGCCATTCATTACCGTGAGCTCATCCGGTCACGTGGGTCTGAGGATGGCGCAGCCTGTGTCACACCCTGAGCGAGCGCGCCCCACACCTTGGCACAAGAGGCCGATTCAAGCCCGGCCGCTGTGGCTCCGTGGTGCAGCATCGACCCATGAACCAGGAGGTCAGGGTTCAATTCCCGGGTCAGGGGTCAGGGTTGCAGACTCCATCCCCAGTAGGGGGCGTAGGAGGCAGCGCCAATCAATGATTCTCTCCCATTACTGATGTTTCTCTCTCTCTTCCTCTTCCTTCTTCTCTGAAATCAATAAACATGTATTTTTTTAAACACATCACAATTTCCTTTTCTCCCCCCCCCCCCCCCCCACTCCTCTCTGTGCTCACTCCTGCATGGCTTCGCTGCAGGCCCAGCCTGTCCCGGGAGGGGGAGGGTTCACGCAGCCCCCTGTGGCCTTTGCTCCTGTGTGCGTCTGTGGGTGGAAACGGTGTAGAATGACAGCAAACCCGGCCTGTACGTGATCTGTGGGCTCACCTTTGCCTTATCTGATCGTTTTCATAGGTAACTCACAGGGATTTCAACTTCCTTTCTGCTTGGCCCGAGTCTCCTTACTCTTCCTGCCTCTCACCTGCGCCCTCTTGCTCGGGGCACAGAGACCTGGTCTTGAAATGGAGTCACATCAGGGCGCAGGTGCATAAGGGCTCCTGGTGAGCGGCCCTCAGGACCACCCTGGGTCCCGGGGAGCACAGGCAGGTTTAGGGCCTTGGTCACTGTTTAACTCACCCACCCCTCAGGTTCCGACTCATCCTCCACCGGCTGCTGACACTGAGGAAGCCCCGATGGCTCTGATCCTCAGTGTCCTCGTCTGTGAAATGGCAGCACTCGCACCCACCCCACAGGACGCTCTGTGGGTCAGGGGGACGCACACCCACCCCGCAGGATGGTCTGTGGGTCAGGGGTACTCACACCCACCCCGCAGGATGCTCTGTGGGTCAGGGGGACGCACACCCACCCCGCAGGATGCTCTGTGGGTCAGGGGGACTCACACCCACCCTGTGGGATGCTCTGTGGGTCAGGGGGATGCACACCCACCCCACGGGATGCTCTGTGGGTGAGTGGGACACACACCCTCCCCACGGGATGCTCTGTGGGTCAGGGGGACTCGCACCCACCCCGCAGGACGCTCTGTGGGTCAGGGGGATGCACACCCACCCCACGGGACGCTCTGTGGGTCAGGGGGACTCACACCCACCCCGCAGGATGATCTGTGGGTCAGGGGGACACACACCCACCCCGCAGGATGCTCTGTGGGTCAGGGGGACTCACACACCCTCCGCACCCCCCGGGATGCTCTACCAGTCAGTGGGACTCAGCTCCGTCAAGGCTGCCTGAGGCCAGCACTGCTCGCTCGGCAGGTGTGAGCGCCCTGCTCCCTCTCCTCCCAGGGCGCTGTCCGCCATGGGCTGGGACACTGCTCTCCTCTGGGTTTGTCTGGTGGCGCTTGGGGTCGGAGAAGAGGCTGCAGTGGAGGCCATGGTGCTTAGACCAAAGCCATAGACGGCCGTGTTGACTCTCAGGAGAAACCACAGGCCACCTCAGTCTCCCCACGGCCACACGACTAAGTCTCCGCCGTGTGACAGGTGTCCCCTCGGGGGGAAGGCCCCGGGGTCCATTAGACGTGTCGGCTGCAGAGCTGGCGGACACTGGGTGGGGCGGCTGTGAGTTGAGGATCTGGTTGAGGGATCACACATTCTCAGAGGTTGGGCTGGGTGACATCTGGTCCTGCTGATGGTCCCCAGCTGGGGACAGCGTCCCTGCTGCCCCGAGGGCTGGGCCTCGCCGCAGAGTGCCGACAGCGGCTTTCGTCGCAGTGTCTGGTCTCACGGAGCGACGGCATCCTTGGAGATAGTGTGAGACAAGGATAATTTGCGGCTAACCAGAGGCTGACCAGAACATTTAAAAGAAAAGAGAAATGAGATGTCCACAGGAGTTACTGAAAAACTCTTATTCCCGGGACTCTCGACAGAACAGGCTTCTGGGGGGCTTTCGCGGGCTGCCTCTGGCCGGTGCCTCCAGCCCGTCACTTCCCCAGCACCCAGCCTGGGTCTGGTGGCAGGAAGAAACCCATGCCCACATCACTCCCCGGGGTTCCCAGCCAGTGTGCCTCCTCCCCCCGCTCCCCCCTCCCCCCTATCCAGTTATCCTATGGTTACTGCATATACGCTTCCAGGGTGCAGAGTCGGACCCAGTGGGAAGAATAAGGAAAAGTACATCTACTCCAAGCAGGAAGTGGAGGTTAAGGTATGCGTTTCTTGCTTGACATTGCCTCATCCTTTCACTGGTTGGGATTACTTATCTGCCTTTATTTTATTTTAAAAAATTTTCATTTTCATTGGAAAATTTTTCTGCATCTAGAGAGCTACTGAGCAAAGAACTGGAAAGCATCTCCAAATTCAAGGCCACACCCATCTGTGCCACACCCATCGGGCCATCATCCGGGCCTCTTCTCCCCGCACAACCTTCCGATGGCTACAGAAATGAGCCGCCGCTCCCCGAAACCAGCACTTTCGGTCTGTGACGCTGCGTCGCCTCGGAAGCAGAGACCCCTGCCTGCCTGCCCTCGGCCGTGGCAAAGGCCACACGGGGCCTGACGGGTCCCCACGGGCACCCTGCTTCTTACTTTTATTATTATTTCTTTATTTTTTGGTTAATCCTCACCCAAGGATATTTTTCCATTGATTTTTAGAGAGAGTGGAGGGGCAGGAGAGACACACAGGGAAACACTCCGTGTGGTTGCCTCCTGCATGCACTCCGACCAGGGCCGGGGAATCTACAACCCAGGTACGTGCCTTTGACCAGAATCAAACCTGGGACCCTTCAGTCCGTAAGCCGACACTCTGAGCCAAACCGGTCAGGGCTGCTTCTAACTCTGATGAGCGGGCGCGGCTCCGTGGTTGAGCATGGAACTATGAACCAGGAGGTCACAGTTCAATGCCCTGGTGCCAGGCTGGATCCCCGGTGGGGGGTGTGCAGGAGGCAGCCAATCCATGATTCTCTCTCATCATTGATGTTTCTATCTCTGTTTCCCTCTTCCTTACTCTCTGAAATCAATAAAAAATATTTTTTTTAAAAAAAAAGTAGAACTAGAAAACCCAAACGAGCAGCCACAGTGCGGAACCAGGGCGCACGTGTTGTTTGCAGCACGAGCCCGGGTAGAGTCTGCAAACCTCCCTCATGCAGACCAGGCTCTGCCCCGAGTCCAGGGCGCACATGGTACCAGGAGAGCCAGCCTGTGCATCCCCCAGCCCCGGGAGGAAGGGGGCCGAGCGGGCAAGATAGGAGAGTATTCCTTCCCCGGACACTTCGGTTACTGGGGAAAGATTAACAGGCCAGCGGTGTGTGAGCGCTCAGATTTCTCGCCCGGGGACACAGAGCGAGGATTGTTTGTGGTGCTGGTAGGAGGCAGTGGCAAACTCGGGGAGAGCGGTGTTGCAATCGACACATCTGGCGGTTACTGGCTCAGGGCACGGCAGGGCAGCGGTCAGGGGAGCAGCGGGGGGAGAGCGAGGTTGTTTATTCATTCGTCGCTAGCTTTTAAATATCTATATAAATAAAAATGCAAATGTTTGCTTGTTCAAAATCTTAAATCTCCGAAAGTTCTTCACCGATTGCTTTGAAATTTTGACACAATGTTGCATTCGAATACGCGCGTGTTTTCATATACCTGTATACCTACTATTCTACACGATGCCCACGGTGGACGAGGTGCTCGCGCACGTTGGGGAATTCAACTTCTTCCAGAAGCAAACGTTCCTCCTCCTCGCTCTGCTCTCGGCCTCGTTCCCCCCCATCTACGTGGGCATCGTCTTCCTGGGCCTCACCCCTGAGCACCGCTGCCGGAGCCCGGGCGTGGCCCAGCTGAGCCAGCGCTGCGGCTGGAGCCCGGCCGAGGAGCTGAACTTCACCGTGCCCGGCCCGGGGCCCGCGGGCGAGGCCTTCCCCCGCCAGTGCCTCAGCTACG